TTTACAAACAGCTATGCTGGCAGGCTCGCAAGGAGAAAAAACCATTAGTGGTACTTTTACTGTGTCCCAATGCAAGTTTACACGGAAAATTAAACGAAGCTACATTGAGGTTTGCATGTACATTGTATAGTATTATAGTATTTGCTATTTTAATCAGATTTTTTATTGCAAACTAATACACCTTAGTTTAATTTTAAATCAATGTCATGATTTGTCCAAATTTTTCCATGCCACTTTCTAATAAATTTGCAGTTGGGGAGGGGAGGAAAGATGTTTTTGGAGGACTGCTAAAGGAAACAGAAATTCACTTTATTTCACTTTATCCAAGTCACCATACCACTTAACATAAATCCACAAGTTAGCTGTTACAAGTCCATTATCTGGACTATATTCGGACTGTTATTAGACATTAAACTATATCCTGTTTGGATACTTGGATGAAGATGTAAATTTTGGTCTAATAGACTATCATGTGCATCAATATGAATTGAAGAAGATTTTCCTCGAGAAAAAAATATTTGGCTATGACTTCATGAAGAAGATTTAAAGAAAGTTATATACTGTTTATAATGTACCTTTTAACACTAACTCAGATGTTATTAATTTCTAAAGGGTTTTTCAGAGGGTACTTGAGCAATGCAAAGAAGGTTGGCTCTTTTGGACTGCTGAAACAACTTCTAAAGATGGCCAAAAAGGTTGGTTAAACTTAAACATGCATGGTTTTCACGAAATTTCCTAAAACCCTTTTAACAGTTCCATAGTAAGTTCTGTTTGTTACACTGCCTTTTACCCTGCCCTACTAATTTCACTTTGTTTTCTAAATACACAGCACTCAAATTATATGGAAACCAAGCAAATGATGTGGACCAGTTGATATTTTTAACTCCATCAGCTGGACCAAATCTAACCTTCATCGAAAGGATCGAAGGTGACAGAATTTTTGACATTGAAATCACCATCATTTTGTTACTTGATGAATAATTCTCTTCATTTTTTAAATAATAACAGCTTCATCTGTAACCCTGTTCTTTATTTCTTAATCAATCCCAGCATCAGATATCGAGGATGATGAGTGGCTATCCTGCTCAACAACCAGCATATGCGAGCGAGCAACCTTTCTCATTGAATCGCTTGCATTAGAAAGGTACATAGATTGTTTTCTCGATTTGATACAACACTTTACAGTATTCAACAAACACTCCATATCTTAACAACACTTATTTCACTCATAATTTAAAAGAAAAATTTGGTGTTAATTTATCTATGTAGAACAAAACTTGCAAGATGGCGAGCAGAGAGGCAGGAACAAGAGAGACAGCTTGCCGAGTGTGTGACAACTAACCGGCCATTGGGCAGAGTGAGTATTCAGGCGACAGATGATACCAGACAATTAAGACAAACATTAATTTTTATGTAGTGGAATTAAAACACATTGAAATATATAATATATTAAGTATGCTATACTTTACAAAGTAATATAAACTCAAATACTGACTGCTTGAATCAGCACTGTAAGTAACAGGTGCGATCACCTGGACTCATTAAAGTATCTTTCAACGGAATGTAAGCAATGCCTTCAAATAAGCAATGTTCTTTTCCGGCAGAACTTGATTCTCTCTGGTTTTATTCAGGTGTGAAACTTGAATCAAAACCGATTTTTTGCAAGAAGCTATGGACACATGAATTAGGCTACAAAAATCTATACATATTATACTTGTATTAGTATGGAGGCATGGTGGCCTGATGGTTAGTGCGCTCGATCCTGAGTCAAACAACCCGGGTTCGAAGCCTGACCGGTGCACTGCATTGTGTTTTTGGGTAATACACTTTACTCTCACAGTGCATCTCTCCACCCAGTTGTATAAATGGGCATCGGCGAATTTACTGCTGGGTGGTAAACCTGCGATAGACTAGCATCCCATCCAGGGGGGATAAACCGGGATAAGCTCCGGCTGTATGGGCCACTTGCCACTTGGCTCAGACACAGACTTTCAATTATACTTAAATAAAACCTTGTTTTATTCTTTTAAGCCACCAGGAAACATGAATGACACCAAAAGGGAAAAGGAAAAGGAGAAAGAGGTGTGTTAAGGGTTTGTGACATCAAAGTAGATGACAATTTCTCATTACAACAGCAATCATCATTTAATGTCCTTGATAAGTATTGGAACATGAGTTGATTGCAATTTAAATAATAATAACTAGGATCCAAGATTTGCATGCCCCAATGGGTTCTATTACCTGACTCAGGTTCTCTATTCATCCCACGATCAGGACGTAACAAACATTTCATCATGTTTTTTCACTAAGCTTTTAATTAACCTTCTTTGTAATTATTTTATATAACAAAACTTTTGAAGTGTCTGTTTGTCAAACACAGGAACATGAACAAGAGAAAATACAGCAAAAACCTGAGGACAATGTACAAGAGCAGAAAGTTAGTTGATAAACAACAAATACTGTCTATTTCAAAAAACCTCATCGCATGTCTGAATGTTCTGAAATAGTGTTAAATAATAAATTTCAATGCACACATTTAGAGTAACCTCCATAAGACGGACACCTAGTTTTGGTCCTGTCACTGCATTTTTCAGTCATTTTTCTGTAACTAAACTCCCCTTAAGACGGACAGCTCTCTACCATGGACAGTTACCACCAGTCCTGGTGGTGTCTGTCTAAGAGACAGCCAACTGTGTACATGTATATATGAAAAATACATTTGTACATGTTGAACTTGAGTTCACGATGAACAATAAGGGAAATATGGAGTGCAAAAAAAAATATCTAATAAATTAATAAAGAAAATAATGGGGTTTTGTCACTTAAGATAAGAGAGGAAAGAAGAAAAAGAATCACTATGGAGCCCAAAGAAGGCATTACCATTGCTCTTCGCTTTGGTGATCGCAAAGTAAGGCGGAAGTTTAGGGATACAGCATTTTTTCAGGTAAATACCCATGTGTATGCTATATGTAAGTTATGTGGAACAAAACTATTGTGTAGTAACAAATGATGGAAACCGATGGTCTGTATTCATATGTGTATACAGTAGACTATATTGAGCTATGCCTGTAACTAGGCCTTAGGCAGGCTTTTAAGAAATTTTTTTTTCTTTTCTTTGTGTATAACAGGAAGTATATGACTGGGCAGGGGGCATGGAAGCAATGCCACGTCACTTCACCCTGCAACGGCGGAATCATGTTGTTTGCCATGCTGATCCAGTAGAGGGGCATGAGGTGTTAGATGTTTATGAACGAGTAAGTAGATACTAAGACTAGCAATGTGTCAAGAATGTAAGTTACATAGTATGCATGTTACAAACAACGTATTAAAAAGGTGACTGAACACTGTCGGTCCTTTTCCTTGGCCAGTTGAATTTTCGTACTGTAATTTTACAGCCATTTATGACAGAATACTTAATTTAAAATTTTGATGCAAGTAAATTAACGAAAGAACAAGAATCCCAAAATCAAAATGCACTACAACCGCCAAAAATAGAACCCTGATCGAAGGAAAGCAAAAATCAGTTCAAGTTAGCAGGGTTTCAAGGTATCATGACCTATAAAATTATTCAATTTGCTGAGCAAAGACTATTTTCCTTTGATAGTTCACTGACTTTGAAGCACTCCAATATACATTACAGTGAAAATGTAAAATATCCCATCAGAAACTGTTGCATGTACCAAAAAATGTAAAAAATGTAAATGTTGTTTATAGTGGTCGTGCACTTAGCTTCATATCTCTTCGAGGTAGCTAGTTTACAGGCATGACACTGAAACAGAGGAAACAAATATTTTAAATTAACATAACAAGGTTAAAAATCCCAACTAGCAGGAGGCAGACCAGTTGGCTATGTACAAAGCGTGATCGAGGATTTGAACTCTGGACAACCGAGAAACAAATTCAGCTAGTGGCAGGGGCAGGTCTTGAACCTGGGACCTCCAGATCACATGATTACACATTCATGGGATTATACATAAACTGGGATAACACTGCAGATATTACATTCTTTGTACTAATCCCACATTTCTCAACATTTGCTAGACAGAGGCAGAATGCAAGACGATTTTAAATCGCAAGGTAGGGAAAACTTTATTCCGCTTCATTTAAGTACTTCAATCAATGAGGCAATCAGTTCAGCTTGTCAGAATTTAAAAGATATAGTACAGGTATTAACGAATTCATTGAGTAGCACTAAAACTTGTAGACGACAGACACTACTGACTCTCCAGGGACGGGGCATATCAAGAGCATCGATACTTGAGAAATACGGACATGACTGACTATGGCACCCTTCTACAGCTACAATACCGGGGAAGACTGACTCTAATAACTATTGTATTAATTAGTAATATGCAGCTTACATTGAATATCATTATTTCACTAAAAATTAATAAGAATAAAAATCTTGACTGAGATGTTCAACTTCCTGAGCTTTAATACTAAGTTTTTTACGCCCCTGAATCGTTCATGAGCTCTACCCAAATTTGAGTCATTTTCAGTCGGCTGTTTCACCAAAGTGCAACGGTTTATTTGGAAAGTAGAATCATCCATCGATAGTCTTTTGAGCTGTTATCAAAATCCAGATTATTTAAAATTGGTATCTAGTGTTCAGAGTTAGCGGCGTCTGAAACTGCCATTACAATGTTCAGTTTAGCAATTTCCCGCCAAATTTTTTAACACACTATGTTTTGACTTCCTCTAATTTTAGTCCATAATTAACCAAAAGGACCTAAGAGTAGTTTCATTGCCCAGTTTTCTGGGGCAATAACACTTAACATAAGAGAGAACTATAGTTATTGTAATCCTTCGGAGGTGCCTCACAGCAAAACTAGTGTGTCCAGGTTAAAATGAAAATACCTAAAAACCAATATCAAATTAAAGCAAGTAGATCTGGCTACCCAAATATTGAATCCGCACCCACTCCCTCACGCGAAAGCTTCAGCAACAAAATTAAAATTCCTCTCATTTAATTTTTTAAAGGGTTTTCAACTCCCAAACCACTAAGGATACCAGTCAGTGTTTTGCATATTCGATCACAGTAAAATGTTACAAAGCACTTTGAAATCGGCTTAACACTCTATGGTTTGTCTTAGCTTGGAGATCTTTTTGAGAAAGAGCACATAATCTTTTTGTAATTATTGATGGTTTGAGTTTCTTTCCACTACCTGATGTCTGTTGAATGCAATCATTTCTATTGCTCACACAAGGTTGACTGGGACCAGTCCACAAATCATAACACTTATATAACACTTAGCAAAATAAAAAGTTTTATTTTGTCACCAAAATAGACTTCATCTGTGGATAATTCACATGTTCAATTATAATTTATTTTAACAGTAAATTTTATTTTTGGATAATTGTCAATTTGAAAACAATTTGAAGAAAATTCACTCCCTGAAGGAATACGGAACCCAGGGCAAGAGTGTGACAAAAAAAGCAGATATAATGTAATTTTTTGTTGAGGAATAATTACACATATTAAAAATCTTGATTGCAAAGTTGATAAAGCAAAACTTACTGCTACTGCTACTCTAGGGACGAGGCTATTTAAAAGCCCCGATACTTGGGAACTACCGACACTACTGCTACTCCAGGGACGAGGCCATTTATAAGCCCCGATACTTGGAAATTACTGATACTACTGCTACACCAGGGACGAGGCTATTTAAAAGCCCTGATACTTGGGAATTACTGACACTACTGCCACACCAGGGACGAGGCTATTTAAAAGCCCCGATACTTGGGAATTACTCACACTACTGCTACTCCTGGGACAGCGCTGTTTACAAGCCCCGATACTTGGGAATTACTGATACTACTGCTACACCAGGGACGAGGCTATTTAAAAGCCCCGATACTTGGGAATTACTGACA